TCTTCAACTTTTCAGTTCTTCTTCAAGCGCCATTGTATCGTAGCAGAAATTTTGGAAAAGTCAAATGTTGACTACTTAATGATGATTGATGCTGACAACGGTGTCATAAACCCTAACAGGTTTATTGAGGAATTTATTCTGGAAGACAAAGATCTTATATTTTACGACAGAATTTACGACAACGAAGTTGCTGCTGGAAGCTACATCGCTAAGTAAATTATAAAAATAGCTTAAATTTGTATAAAGTTGTGAAAGTAATATTACTACCCTTCACAACTTTAGGTGTGACATGAAGCAAGTTGCTTAAAGACTCTATAAGTTCGTTTGTAGTCATCACTAGTCTTTTCGTTATTTTTGCCTGTTAATAGGAATCAATAAGAAGAAAGGGTTCAATTTTTAAACTCAGTCAAAAGGTAATTCTGCTCAATTTCATCCTCAGCAGTTATTCCGAATTTAGTGCTGATGCCTAGGAAATATCGATATTAGTAAGTCTGCAAGTTCAAGTCAAATAGTTGTTCTGCTAAATCTTCCTGTAAGCCTAGACCGATATAGTTTATCAGATTCTTTTGTGTAACTTTTCGCTGCTTTTATTGTGTACGGTCAGCAACATTTCTGTGAGAGACAGTGGAAGAAGCAAAAAAATCTAAAAAGAAAAAAAATCACGTACCAAAGGCTCATTCAGCACTGAAAAGTAAAAAAAAAATTGAATGTGATGTTTAAAAAAAGCCTATTTTCTATTTCACATTAACATATTATAAGTTTCAAAAAACAGTGTATGTCGAGCAGAGGAATTTTAACTTTATATTTCTAGCTTAACGTTGTTTCTTATACTTTAAAGTCACTTCTGTTCTAGAAAGACCAACTTTGTACTCAACTTTCTCAGGCAATGGGCAGATATGGATGACCGGCCTCTCCCTAAACTTGGAGACACTGATAACATAGCAATACATGTTGGTTGTTTTAATTTAGACGGCTTAATCAAGTTGAGGGTTTTAAATTCTTTAGCATTGGAATGCCACTTGAAGATGAAGTTTAACACCTCATGTCTAAGATCAAAAACATTTTTAAAAAGTTTTAACAAGCAAAATGCAACAGGTAGGAAATTCTTAAAGCTTTGTTACTTGAATAAATTAGCGATTAACAGTTCAGCGACAAAAAAGTTCAGCGACATGTTTGTTTTGAGATTCCAAAAAAAAAAATGAAGAAACTACGTTAAATATATACAAAATTTTTCAACATTTTTTAATTAGTCTATTTTTAACTGGAGTAATATTATGAGTGACATCTTCTGACTTTTTCATTAATTAATACTCTATGCCTGTCGCTACATAATACTATAATGACTATTTTGCAGACTATTTTGCTTTATACGACGAATATAAATCCGGATCAATGCGGAGGATTATGGTGGAATGCAAAGTAAGCTTAACATATACCTAATGATTAGTCAATTTGAAAATCAATGCTTGATAGAATCTCATAAAATCTTTGAAAGCAGTAATATTTTTTAATAATTGAAATTTTCAGAAACTTCACCGATATTTTCGCATATATTGCTTGCATTAGGATTCTGTTGGGGAAGGATTTGTCCTGGAAAAAAAGAATTGCGATATTACCAAAAAGAACTGCTTGGGTGAGGGATAGTTGGCTAACAGACTCCAAATGGTGTGAAAATGACTTCATTATTCACGGATGGAAACAAAGGTACGTTCTTTTTTTTTTTTGAGCAAAACGTTTATAAATTTCTTTCTGCACTTGCTGTCTGGAGGTACTGTAGTCGTTTTTAAATTTTCTTTTCAGCTACATGAATAAGGAACGTCTTTATAGACGCAAAAAGTGGACCTGTCCATTTGTTTCAGCTGCAGTTAATCTGTCTCTCTGTACTCAAGAATCGTACGTTTTGAACTGGCCATACAGAGCTGACTTAAAGAAAAAGTGCTCTGTGATTGACAAACACTTACATTCAGAAGTTACAGCTGCAGTTTCGCAAATTTTGGTATATGATAAATTGGCATTGTCTTATCTCAATAAAAATCCCAGTGTGAATTCTTCTAGTACTCAGTAGTCGCAACCGAAATTAATTTTACTGTTTGTGAAGACTGTTTGCAGTAAGCAGGCAGAGTAATTTGTGCAGCTATAAAAAAGAAAGAAGTCTGCTTTTATTTATCTATCTGTTTCTCAATTGTATTTATTCTAAAGTCTGAAGATTTCCAACATTCCGCACTAAATAGAAAGAATTATTTTTAGTTTTTTTACTGACTTTACATAATCTT